ATATGGTATGAAGATCAAAAGTATTGGCTTCCAAAATTGAGCTGATGGAACTGCATGTGAGAAGGTTGACCATTGTTTATACAACTTCATCCGTACTTCATGCAGCATATATTCCTTAACGACTTGATACATAATCTTTCTGATTTTAACTCATGTTCAATGAAAGATAATGGAGATTTGAGTAAAAAATCGCAACAGGTTTTGGTACTTGCAATATTCGTCAATGGGGGCATCATAGTCATAGCTCGTAGTAATGAATGAACCACCTGATGTCCTATATGATATACTGCAATCCCCATAGATAGTATCACATGCGGAAAGAAGCAATTTCTTGAATAAAACGAACAGTCACATCTCCCCTCTAGAGCGTGCCAAGCAAGCTGCGGTCTTAGGAAACAAGAACTCCAACACATATTACTGAATATACAACTTACTTTGAGCACGTTTCGAGACGTTGAAGCTTACTCCAGTCAATACTATGATAAGGCATGACTGTACTCTTCTCAACTAGATCAAAGTCTGGAGAAGACTACTTCAATGTATGGGGAAAGATTCAAAAGGCCACGCAGATTTTTGGAATGATATAGACTACTATTTATAGGGCCGTGGATTAAGAATTCGGTTTCAAATAACTGCGTCCTCTCTTTCACACAATTCTGTGTGTAATTCCAGTGACGAAGCCTTTGTCAATACCATGTAGTAGTTCTGGAAAGTGCCTCCTCTTTGATAAAATTGGGCCACGGCGAAGGCATTATCTTGGACTGGCCTATGTGGCACAAGGACTCCCCAAAGCTGCTACTTGTTCAAAGGGCCAGCATGCAAATCTCTGTGTAAATCATGTGAAGAAGTTCTTCATGTTTCCATATTTCAGGAGGTGAGTATGTTGACAGTCTAAAGGCTTTTTGTGAGATCAATTAGTAAGATTGATTATCACTGGATGTTACAGTCGTTAGAAATGAATGGGGCAATTGATGGATTTGAGGATAAGTTTTAGATAATCATTTGAATACCATCACAAGTACGTAACGTCCTATTGATTAGTTTTGTTGAAATAGAAATACCAGTTTTGCAAGCTCCTTTTACAAGCAACATAGGATCTGGTAGTATAGTGAAACCTTACAATCAATTTACTTTATAGGGAAGCTCTTATATTATACATTGAAATCTGTTAGTAAGAATCGTAGAAAGAATAAATACACGAGCCAAGTATTTTGGATCACTTTGTCTTTCCTTTTAGAAAAAACTTATATACACTTTAGCATACAATTAGCATGAACTCAAGTGATGTCCCAATATGTAATAAATATTTATAAATCATTTATTACAATTTGGATCAAACTGAGCTTTTGCGCGAAGAGCAAGAGTTATACATGGATGCTGGATAAATTCATACTTTGGTTAAGCCGTTGGGGAAACATTTTCAAGGTGGTCGACACAATTTCAAGCATCGGTTGAACAATTCTGCAGTGAGGAACTATGGTCGTAAGTATGACTTCGAGCAGGGTGTGAGAATAGATTCCCTTCTAGTTGAATGAGGATGGATGCCCAGATGTTCTTATGGTCCATCGCTTGAGAGTCTGAGGTCGTTCTGAGTGCCAATCAGGAAGCTGCCCGGTTAGCCTGCCCGTACATTTTTCCATCTTTGGTCCAAAAGAGTAGAGTCGCAGCGAAACGAATAACTTCCGTCACGGCTCACGGCAGGATGACACATGCCTGGGTCTTTGAAGGCCCTATATAATGGCTATGTATAAGTTTGTGCAGCTAAACCCGTCCCACCTTGATGGCAGTGTCCAGAGAGGGGTTTTGTCGACATTTCCGTCTTTGATCATCGTGTATTAACGAACGAGCTTCCCATCTTATCGCTCATATTCTCAGATCTGCAAGATTCTTACGAACTGCGATATGGCCGATCACAGAACTCTTCTCGTCCTGTCCTAGCTCTGGCCCTGAGTATCATCCCTGCGTCCTCGAGGTAGGACATTAGGATCGACCTCCTGTATTGCAGATTCCAAGTATGCATGTATCCATTTGCTCCATCCCACGATCTTTGTACAGCTTTCGACCTTGCCGAGCAGAAGGTCGATCTTCTGGCTTTCTTTGTCGTCATCTCGAAGGATCCGTAAAACTATTGTCCAAGAAAAACAGAAGTACAAAACCCTCATCCAGAATTCGGGAATCATCGTTCCTCCTTTTCGTGACGTGTAACCTCCTGCCTCAATACACTGAAAGTCATTGGGCTCTGCAACTTCAGAATTCAGTCATTTCTTGCCCAATCCAACGCATCATTATGCTTGTATAAACTTTCCGTTCTTTCCACAAACACAACGGGCGACATATGGTAGAAATTGCTCGGGGTTGTGCTTGGACATGTATAGCAACGAGACACTCAATCAAGCCCAGACAGCTTGATGCATTTTGATACATTGATTGCCTGTGCTCTAAGAGTTCTCATGTTTGATTTTTCAAGTAACCAGCTAGCTTGGTAGCAAGTTTCGATTTCTAAGTTGTTGACAGATGAAGATGGAGAACATGAACCATGCGTGACACACTAACGCGAACATCGCATGTTCTTGTTTCTGATTTCCAGGATTGATCACGCTTTTTTAAATCGATGAATTGTTGTCGAACACTATGCACTGACAGCGCCTATTTGTCCTGAGTTCTGCTATCAGGTTATAGCCATAGCTCTTCCTGACTCCATGATACTTTCATGGCATTCCAAAAGCTAAACTGTGGTGCGTGAGTGCATAACATGCCACTCCTCCACTGCCCTTCTACTTCCAGCAGACACCAAACTTCATCACTTGTATGAACTTCTCCGGGTCTGACGTCCGTGGTCTTCACTCTTTCTTTTATCAAGATTCAGTTGTATGAGTTGGTCCGAGATACACATCTTTGTCATTTCTTCTGTAGTCTAATCGTCGATGACTCCATGCTACCTCTCGATGACGAGCACGTGGACTTCCCTTCTGTCGTCAAAGAATTTGTAGACAACCGTCCAGTAAGCTAGAGTTCCATAAACGCTAGTCTAGTCTCTCCCTACGGCCTGACTGAAACGCCTCGATCATAAGCTTCGATGTGAATAGCCCAACTGTTCAACTGTTTTAAGTTACCCAGTGTGATGGTGAAAATGGTGTTGTTTGTCTCCTGTTGCTTGATCCATTAAACTCTTTCACAAGTATCAGGTTTATAAAAACGACACGCAGCTCGTATGCTTTACACTGCAAACTTGTATGCGCTGTCGTCCCTTCTGCTGTAATTTTTTTTCATACCCTTGAAAGTGAAAAGAACTCTGAGTGCAAGACACTACAGTTTTGTGGTATCTATAGGGCGAGGGTGACCAATTCTGATCATCAGCTGGAACTCAATGCCTGATCACATCACAGTATCCACTGTTGTGATCACGTATCTTGGAGATCTCCAGTTCTTTAGATCCTGCCTTCGGTCTCAACAAAAGCTGCAAGCACGGAATGCAGTTGGAAGCTGAAAGTGATAATTATGCATCAGTTGTGGATGATGCAAATCACCAGAACATATCGAAATTAGAAAGATTGTGATATCACGATATAGATTCCGTAAATCTCAGAATCTCGACTCTGAAGTCACTTCGGGACTAGACAAGGGTGCGAGTCAAGTCTGGGATCCACTCACACAAAGATTCTCACCTAGAGTTCTCATTCGAATTGTTTCTCTTATGTTCAAGGTTTCTTCTCCAATCTGGTTGCTCTGAATTGATCCTTCCTAATGTGTGTGTGCAGTATGCTTTAGACGAATGTACTTTCGAAATATTGCGGTCCTCTGTAGACCCAGTGACCCAGGTTTGTGACCCAGACTGGTCTCAAACCTTGTGTGCTACATAACATCTGTTCTGAACCAACACGTGTCACCGTGTGTCTGAGTGATTTCGCTACTATATTTATTTTTCTCTGTGAATCACAAACAGCCAGGTTCTGAGGTCAGAATGGAAATCGTCCCTCTTCCCTGTGGTTCCACGACCTATCCAAAATTGTCAACATGTGGCGTGAGCATCTCATCGCCGAGATTCCGAGACCATAGACAACACGATAAGGACTGCAGCCATGAACTTTGAGACCTTGTAACCACTTCAGAAGGCAATGCCGTACAGTAGCGCAAAAGCAGTTTGCTGTCTTCGCAGTGGTGCAAACTTCCCAGATAGCTCGTCCAGAATCTCAGGTGCAAGTTTTGAAGACGTGAACAATGAGGAAAAAGTGTTTGCGTGCTTTCATTATTGATTCTGACCTGTTAGCGCCGACTATCCAAACAGTCACTGACAGCTGCGATTTACGAAAAGCACACCCCTTGATAAAGGACGTGTCCTTTTCGATACTGTTTGTAAGCAGACTAATGGACGCTGTGCATCAGCATATCGTGATTGGCTATCTGGCGGACTCTTTGAACCAGCGAACTCCTTTTGCATTCAAGGATCTCTTCTTCCAACCAACAATCTCTGTGTTTATCTGAACACCAGCCGTAAGTTCTAAACAATCATAAACAAGTATCACGTGTGTACTGGAGTGATTGATTACCTATTTAAAAATACCATGTACTTGGTTCACTTTGAAGCAGAATAGTATAAAAACAGCTCTGCTTGATAAGGAGGCCTCCATTTTGAGTTATTTTATTCGTAGGGGGTCCAGTTCTATACTAAGGTGATCTCATAAATTGTGCAAACGTACATACATATTGCTCGCCAACTTTACACATTTCTGTCTCCCAGTTGAAATCAGAAGAAGTATGCCTCCATAACGTTTGGCCTGATGCATTCAACTCCCGATTCCGCTAATGTTCCGACAAATTGCGACTTTTCAGACCATGCATGTATCAAACTTCTCCCACTTGACTGGTAAATAACTCAAGTGCTCCAGATTTTATTCTTTTTGTCAAATGTATGTGCGAGCGAAGACAAATTTTCCTCGCCTACTCATCAAGGTAAAGGATGCTGAACTTTCTGATATAGAACATGTATTGATTGTAGCAAATGGATTTCTGACCAAAATTGTTGTAATAGGGCGTGAAATTCACCGTTCATTTCATGCGACTAGGCCTCTCACAATGGTCTGTCCAAATCTGCTCCGGCAGAAACGTCGTCAAACATATGCAATTTGATTCAACCGTAATTACTCGCCAAGCGTCGTTCACATTTGTCTGTTTCATCCAGAGAAGTATTTCTTTGCGGCCCATGTCGATTTCTCATATCTTCGGTAGAATTTATACAGAGAACGTAAACTCACGCCTTGAGAGAAAACTCCACAAGAAGTGAACAAACAGTTCATGGATTTTTACATACCGAGCTGTTGCGCTCAACGCCCGTAGGTTTTCTTCACGTCTCTACTAGACTAATCTGCTGGAATAGCGACGGCTGCTCACTCTTTGTTACAGTACGAAGTTCACGTAGTTGAGTACAGAAGCTTCACAGGGTCAACTAGTCTTTAACCTTGTGGTGTATTTTTTCGAGCGGAGAACACCCTCCAAAAGGTCTGCTATCACTAGGCTTTTAAAGTGTCAAAATAATTGAACCCGCTGAAAACTTTGGTGTCGCTGCCTGAACTTCTTGACTTGATGACCACTTCGGAGTGTTCTTGTGCGTTCATATCTTTATACACACGAGGATGATTTTCATCAATTAGCTCACTTGGAGGACAAAGAGATTGACTCCCTGTCAACGAAAGTATGGATGCTATCGAAAGGCGGGGAACCTCTTTGTTCACTAAAACTCGGTGCAGAACACTTTTGAAGATGCCGTTGGACCAAATCTGCACAAGAGGAACATTCTTTCAGAATCTTCTTCGATCGTCGTTCGTTCCTTCATTCGTAACAAATTTATGTATAACTTGTAGCAAATCATATTTAATCATGTATAAACACACATGAACGTACGACAATCACGCATGATTATAAACTGAAGGATTTGTCTCTTGCATGAAACTGATCTGAAATGTTCACGGTGAAGGTATCTTCCACTGGCTTGACGTTGTACCAGCGTCCATCTCTCTCCACCTGTAGTCCTCCAACTTTGTCCTGTTGCAAGACAGTCAGTAAAGTAGGATCCGTATGACTGTGTGCTCCGAGAACATCGTCAGGTAGTGGACATGCTGGATAGTAGTTCCAACGAATGACAATGTTTCCCGTCTCTACAGTTGGGCTTGAGAAGAAATCTGTCTTGAGTCCCAAACTTTCAGAAGCGAGCTGCGACAGTTGCTTGGCTGCCGCTCTAACGCCTGTCAAGTACTCCGACATTGCAGTCCTGAAGAGAAAACATTGACATTAACAAAACTCTTCGATAAAAGATGCACAGTTGATCATCTGGCTGTAATTTCCTGCTATGCTGATAGAACAGCCGATGGCATATACTCTAAAAGAAAGAAACAACGTAGAGCTGACACAACAGAAAATGTACTTGATACTGATCCGATCTATTGATTCACCAATACTGACATAATTGGTGACATGCAAGAAAAAAACACATTCTGCAACTCATAAAAATTGCGGGTACGAATTGTAGATTTGTGACAGAGATTTCATTTCTGGTGATTCTCAGAGGTTCTGAGATAAAGTGACGGAGAGATAGAGGCGTGAAACACAAGAAGACTCAGAGTTCAGGTTCTCATGAAGCTCGGCTTACCGAAATCGATCATCAGCAGTTTTCCACTCACTTGTAACTCGATCGATGATGGTGGGATCCAGAGCGCACCACTGACCGAACCACATCACATAGCTTTCTGCCCAGTGCAAGCTGTGGCGCTTCTCCTCAATGTTATTTCCAGTGTAGTAGCTGCCCTTGCCTGCGCCTAACTTTCCTCTGGTCAGTAGTTTCAATTTGGCCTCCTCGGACTGCAGAAAAAATTTCAGGCCTTCTTCTTGCACTTCCTTCATAAGGCCGGACGGCACACCATGATTGGTAACACGGAAAATTCCCCACGTGCTTGCTGCCTCGCGGAATTTCTTCACGAGTCCTGCTCGGTCGCTATTCATGAGAGAAAGATCTATCAGAGGCAGATCAATGCTCTCAAATTCGGCTTCCACTGGTCGATCCTCCTCAGGTACTTTCATGTCTTCGGGAACCCCATCGATGCGAAGGTCTCGAAGCTTTTCTGTTAGCACCGATCCCAGCTCCTTACTCATTTCTGTCTTCTGAAATGCCAGAACTTTGATCGTCATCGTGTCGACGCCGAACGAGGACTTGCGCAGCAGACTCAGGAACTGACAGTCAAGGCCTCGCTGCAGGACTGAGCTCCCTTATGACAAATGGGCATTCAGCTGCAAGCCACGCGCTACTACGTTGCTGTCTACTGTCAAGAATGTCTATGTTTCTATCGACATCACATCCACTCTTTATAAGTGTTACCTCCGAATGCTCTCCTTATTTTTCTCTCTTTTTATATAATATAAGGGAGGTGGAGTCCACGACATAATTTTCTCACGTCTGAACAAGCATATCGATTGTTCAGAGCCTAAGGTTGGGATGGTGAGCCCCAGATCCTGATCAGTAGCTAGCCATGATGGACTTTTGTGTCCCGACCATCAAGCTGTCACAACAAGAGCCAAGTGACGCAGTCAACGCTTTAACTCCTAACGAAGACAATATGCTTTTCAACATTGGGTCAAAAAGTGGTATTGCTAAATGCTGAGCACAAGTTTTGAGCACATGTAACAACCTGAGAGTTACTGCAGTGCTTACGAACTGGAACCGAGTCGATCCGATACTTCGTAGTTGAAAATTGTATTGATATCAGTAGACAGGTGGGTGAATCAGGAAACCAGGGAATTGATGTTGGGATTAAACGTCGCCATGAGGCAACAGTAGATGACTTCTTGGTGTTCATCTTATCCTCGTGACTGGCAGACGATCTGAAAAAGCCTATCAAATTCTTAATGACGGTATCACAGTCTGACATCAAATTTGCGTACAAAAGAGCAGGCGCAGGTACAGCGAACCAACACACAACCCTACAAAGAGAAGTGTACGTAGCTTTCACATATTGGCATCGTAACATCATGCTCCACGTATATGGCATTGTATTATTAGACTCACCCTGGTCATGTATATAGTTCTGTTTATTTATATATTTCTGAGGCTATATGAGTTGATGCAAGTTTTAAAAATCATGTTAAACACTTCAAAAAAATTGATGTATTCTGGGATAAATATTATTAAGTGATTGATAAGTTTTAAATTAAAAATAAAGTAAAAAAATTTATAATTTTATTGAGAATTAAACTATGAAATTACTTTTGTAGATTTAATCTTGTAGTTATATTTACTATAATAACATATTCATATGATCTGTACATAACTTCTTGATTATATTTGATCTGAAAAAATCTTATCTTTCTTGGTTAAAATAAAAAATTTGAAATTAAATATCAAATATTTCAGATTGAGCACTATGAAGATATATACTATGATAATTTTTATTTGATTAAAATCATTTTTATTTGATTCATATGTGATAAAATCAATTTTTTTGGATCTTCATTTGATATTGCATGACATTTTAGTATGAAGTACATGAAGAGTATGTATTTGAACTTTCTTGACAAAAAAAACTTGAACCTTGATTGAATAAGATTGATTTAAAATATAAAAGCATTAATTTTTGATCAATCAACATACAATAGGATTTGATGTAGAAGCTAATTTTTGAACAGCTACTTGATTATGTGATTAATGGCATTTGAAAATCTCTTGAAAATTTTATTTGAGATAGTGATACATATTAATTTTTTTTATACATAATATCAATAAGCACAATTTTGAATATTTCTTGCGTAAGAATTGTATGAAAAAAAAAAATTTGTGCAATCATTTCTAGTTTTCATCATTTTTAAAACTTAAAAATTTTCAAGTTGAGATTTGAACTACTCATTATTGATGCACGTAAACCAAAAGTTGAAAGACACAAGCACAATTAGACAAGAGACACAACATATATAACGTGATTTATCTTTCAGAGAACTACGTCCATGGTTGGAGCACGCGAGAGAGTTTACTAACAACTGAAAGCAACAACAATTCAGAGCATAAGCCTTGGAGTATATATATATCCAACACCCGCGACCCATCTAACTATAGATTGCTAGAACCTAAAATTACTCCTTAATCAAAGTTAACTTAAACAATCTCTCTCTTAACTAGTGTTAAAAAAAATTGTAAATTCTGTAACCTATATTATTACTCCTCAAAAAGTTCAAGACTGAAATCTAACACAAGAGCACTCTTTACACAAGAAGTAATTAGAATCAAACCGTAGCCATAACAAGATAGAGTAATAACATAAAAATGCAACTAAAAAACCTGCTAGCATAAAGGTATAAAAATCTCGTAACATATTTAATTCATCTATGGAAAATTCTAGAAAAAAATTTAAAATAATGCCACTCTTTACACTAGAGTTAACTAGAACCAAGTCATAGTCATCACATGATAGAGAATATATATAAAGAGTATACTGAAGATACTATGCTAGCAAACTCTACCTATGCTACCCATGCACAAACTATATGGTAGTACATGGTCGCCTGAAACTCTCAAAACGAACAACTTTGCTCAAAGCATCACCTAGATTAAGTTTATCATCTATCTTGATTAGCTCAATTGCTTTTCTAGACCTTGCTTGTCTGATATAATGGTTTATGATGTCAATGTGCTTCATTGACATCAAGTTATGAGGTGATTGACATGACCTTGTTTGTAGCCAATTCTAAAGCACTTTGACTATCACAATGAGAATTGTTCACATCTTATGTCAACTCCATCTCTATGATAAGCCAATCCAACCAAATAGCTTCCTTTGTTGCTTTTTTTGCTACCACATACTCATCTTCCATGATTGACTAAGCCACGCATTTCTCCAAGATAGATTTCTAACTAATGCTTTCATCGCCAAACGTAAACATATATCCATTTGTAAATCTCTTTTAACCTAAATCTTGTTTGTAATGAGCATCAACGTAGCCAACAAGGATATATTTCATACCATCTATATCCTCTATATCAACGATATTCAAGAATGGATAAGTTAGTGCATAGATCAAACCTCTCACTAGCCCTATTAACACAATGCGATCTACTAATAGACGTTTTCAGTTAATTTGATCGTCTAGTATTGTTGCAATAAACTCAACAACGATGACTTGTTCTTGTAGTTCATGTTCCACATGCATCAATGCTCCTTCTTGTGACAAATTATTGGTGACATAATGATCAAACTCCCTCAGAACAACATCCGTGAGTGAAATTTTTTTTCCTTGTCAATACGAGGAGCATTAGAATTCTCCCCCTTTTTCAATAAGTCATGCTCATTGGAAACAACATCGCAAGTGACAATCACCTTACGGTCTATTGGATCCCATAGCTTGTAAACTTTCATTTCATTAGCATATCCAAGAAAACAATATTTCTTGGTTGGAGTACGTTATTCAATCTCGTGCTACTTTGGTGTGAGAAGGTAAGTACTCGTGCTCTTTTGGTGTGAGAAGATAAGTAACACAATCAAAAAATTTCAAAAGACTCTAAATTATCATACGTTTTAAATCTCATATCAAATCATATTGAAAACTGATTGCATTAGAAGAAGAAAAATTTACCAAATAAACTGTGGTGTTGATAGTTTGGCCCAAAATTCTCTAGGTAAATCTAATTTGCTCATTATACTTCAAATCTTTTCCAACACTACTAAGTTGAATCTCTCAAAATAGCGTTTTTTTGTGGAGTATAAACAGTCGTTAAATAGCAAGTAATCAACTACTCTTTCAATATCTTTGAAACTCCTCAGAAGTATATCTTTTGTAATTATCAGATAGTAAATATCTTATCATTTGTCTAGTTTGAGTATCAACTTGTATGCACTTAGTTTTGAAGATCCCAAACATCTCAGACTTGTGGGTAAAAAATATATTCACACATACTTGGAGTAATTATCTATAAAAGATATATAATACAGCTTTCCATAGAATTCGGCAACATGGGATGGTCCTCACAAGTCACAATGTACTACTATCTCCGCGGAACTATGAGTTTTAACACCAAAAGCTTGTCTATGTTGTTTGCCAATATTACAATGTTTAAGATTCATATACATTCACAAAAGACCAAGTCAACTTTACGCAAACCCGGTAACACATTTTTTTTCATCAAAAAAATACATATATCCATCATTCATATGGCCTAATCTAGAATGTCATGCATGTAACATCTCAACGCGAGATATGCTAAATTTAATGTCTCCACAATTAGTTGTGTACTTTAGCAAGTACAAATTGTTGTGCTTGTATCTCCAAATTAAAATCTTCTTATTCTAGGATTTAAAATCTAACATCTAACACGTACTTCCTAAAGCTCCACTCTAAGTCGTGTGAATCTAACACTACAAGATTAATCAAGTTTTTTTGCATGTTAGATATAATCTAATTTGGATAAGCATACAATGTATATCATTAAACATGAGGATCTTTATAGATCCAACATACTTATATCTATAGATTTGATCATTTCCCATAAAAATTGATACATTTGATCGTGAGAAGATACAAAAGAATTTTCTAATGTAACAAATATAATAAAAATAAGCATTATTCACAATCCAAATGTCACCAACAACTTTTGATGAACTATAGAGTACATACTTTTGGCATCATAGGCCGTTTGCAAACATGTCATTCGCCTCAAGATTAAAAATCTCCGCAAGGTTTGTCACATAAGGAGGTGTGGCATGTAACTTTGATTGGCTTTCCTGATGTGGCCACTCTTGCCACATATTCTAGACATCAAGTTTTTACTCTTAGATGATTGAGCCCTAAACTGTACTCTTTTCCGCTTAGGAGATCTAAATCTTTGTCTCTTGAATCCCATACGCCGCAAATTTTTTATATTCCTTAGATGTGATTAACCTTGGGTCACAATAAGTGCAATACCAAAAATGAATGGGCAAAAAAATGACAACATCTTGTGCTCGTCCGTCAAAAGAGCACTTACAACCTTATTATAAGTGACAACCTTGTCATCGTGATGAAGTAGAATTTTTTATAGTGATTAGTAAGAATAAGGCAAGGAATGGAGAAGACGCATATTTTTTTCCATATCAGAAAGCTCTTATGTCATACATTGGAGATCTATCAGCAAATCACGGTATGCGTGAATGTGATACTAGATCGTCATTTTGGGCCTCATCGTGAAGTCTAACAGCCTCATGTAGATGTTTATCACAGATGACAGTTACTTTTGATGCAACCGTCATTGAAGGATGCCAAAGAACTGTATGATCTCGGCATACTTGCCAAACTTACTTCATCACCAAAAGATCTAGATGTTCCATCACGATGTAGACTGCCTGCTCAGTGAATTCCTCCAATCAATGTCACTAATGTGCATAGGCTTCTCTCTAAGCACATTAGCAAGATCCATAAACCTCAACTTGACTTTTGCCTACTTTTTTAAAAGCAGGTAATCATCTCAA